AACCATATCATTAGCATTTCTCCAATGATGCATTTTGACTCTTAGTATTTTTTATTTATTTTTTTGTGCAAACAAACTACAACAGGCAAACATGTAAGCAGGGTGAACTCACTTTGTGAGTTCATGTAGAGTAGAAACTAGAGCCCGACCAATATGTTTTTTTTGGGGGCCGATACTGATATTTGGGAGTAAAAAAAAAAAAGGCCGATACCGATATATCGGCCGAATTTGGCGCGGATTCGTCACGCAGTTACGGAGATATGGCCGTTCAAAGTTTCAATGGTTTTCTATAGACTTAAGCTTCAAAAGCATTTCATCCAGGTCGTCAGTTGCAAACAATGGAGCGCGCTCTGCTTGACAAACTAAGTAATTACACCATTTCAAGCATTTTATTTGCGTTATATGTTCTGTAAAAAAAAATTTCATATCGGCGGCATATTCGCCCATACCGATATATCGGCGACAGGCTCATATCGGCCGATAATATCGGCTAAACGATATATCGGTCGGGCTCTAGTAGAAACATTTAAAATTTGTTTGGTTGAAATGGAGAAGTGGCTCATTGCTGAAGAACTTTACTGTGACTGATTGAATTTATTACCTGAGAACACAACACTCTTAACAGCATAAGTTCAATTACCCTAATTACTGAAACTTTTATTTTAGGGTTTTGGCTAAATAAACTTTTTATAATTCTGGTTAAAAAACAAAAAAAATAATTTTGGTGCATCACTACAATTAGTAGAGTTAGCTGCAGTTTAGTTTGGTGGATCCATCAGTCCTTAAGGAATGAGCAAAGTATTCTTCTTTCACTAGCTATGTTTCAGTCAACATTTTTCAGCACACTCTTGAGAGTCCTGCACAGGTCCTGTTTAGTAAACTCTCACCCGCCCTGCACATGCAGTACTTGACAGAACACCCTGACCCGTTATCTGACAGCAGCATTAATTTAATTCCGTACCCAGACCCGTTTGACATAAAGACCGCAAGCTGAACCGCACCCGCACTAAATCTAGTACATCAGGTAGGCAAACATTTTCTCATGTAATGAGCAATCAAACCAACATTGATGGAAAAATAGATATGCATTGCAACATGGTAGTTAATTAACATAAAAAAAGATGAGAACGTGTGTCCTTTGTGTAAATGATGTGAAATTTTTTCCTACATATATGAACAATCTGCCCATATGGGGAATGACTCTGCATTTGAATGCATTTGTCTCTTCTGAAACCCTGCAGTGTATATGTGGCCATTGGTCCTCCTAACAGCATGAACAACACTTTTATTCAAATTGTAAATGGATTTATATACAGAAAGCAAGCAAGGAGCACTCCCGTTATAATCAAGCTGCCATTCATGTCAGTTGCAGCGCGATTGGCTACGACGCTCGATGCTGCAAATCATGTTGTAAATAGAAACCTTTTTTTTGGGGTCTTCAGACTACAGAGCGTGAACGCAAGCAACCATTTGAAAGCATCTGTCTATCAGCAGATATCGAATTGAGGCCCTGTTGAATTGAACACCGCAAATGACAACACAATATTCCACCAGTTACATCAAATATTAGCCGTTCATCCGTCCCACGTGCAGGACTCTGCTCTGAGGTTCAATTAATGTATTATGTAGGGAAAAAAGTCACTGTCTTCCACGGTTGCGGCAGCTATATATATATTAGGGATGTGCGGCTCTAGTCGACTAAACGGTACAGCTCCTACTAGTCGACACTGAAAACAATAGTCGATTACACGACAGAAAAAAGAAAAACAGTATTTTATCATTCACATTACCATCATTTTAACACTGCGATATGTATGTGTATATATGTATATGTGTATATGTATGTGTATATATATAACTTATATACACTTTATTTATTTATATATATATATATATATATATATTACTGATATTTTGTAGCAAATTTCTAGGAAGTGAAGATCGTTTTCTTGAACACACAGGATGGAAAAGGTGCTTTATTCACAAATGTTTTGAGTATTCAATTTTTTTTGTGCGCAAGTTTCATTCAGAAACGGCTACTTGCATGCTGTCTAAAAATATTGCCCATATGCTAATGTATTTTTGCCCTTCATAGGTTACCAACTGTGTGATAACAGCGTAGGCGTTCTGTTCAATGATTCCACGCGTTTGGTCATGTACGCTGATGGTGACAGTCTGCAATATATTGACCGCAACTCAGTAGAATCCTACCTCAGTGTTCGTTCCTACCCTTCTTCGCTCTCCAAAAAGGTCTGTGTATGCTGGAAATAGCGCAATGAACGAGTTTCATAATGGTTTTGTTATCCAGGATTGCTGAAGTCTTTTTTTTTTTTTCTTTTTCTTTTTTTGGTTTAGATTACACTCCTCAAGTACTTCAGGAATTACATGAGCGAGCACTTGCTGAAGGCTGGGGCAAACATAACACCCCGTGATGGGGATGAACTGACCCGGTTGCCTTACCTCCGCCACTGGTTCCGCACAAAGAGTGCCATCGTGCTACACCTGAGCAACGGAACTGTGCAGATCAACTTCTTCCAGGTGAGAAACTGGCATGTCTAAAATGGATTAAGTACTGCATCTGGGTACTTGTGATGTCAAACAAAATCCAGAAGAATCCAAACTGAAACCGTGAACTCACCATTTTCTCTTTGTGCCCTCCAGGACCACACTAAGCTTATTTTGTGTACCCTGATGGGAGCAGTGACGTACATCAATGAGAAGCGAGAGTTCTACACCTATAAGATGACCCTAATCGAGGAGTTCGGATGCTGCAAAGAGTTGGCCAGCCGTTTGCGCTACGCTCGCAACATGGTGGAGAAGCTCATGGCCTGCAAAAGCACTGCCACTAATGCTACTTCCGCCCGCTAACCCACTGACATCACAAATTGTATAGCTTTGTGTTCACCACCAACTCTGCTCAAGTCTGAGGGCCCTTAAATATTCCAGCAGTAAAACTTGTACAGTTCTACGCTATGACTTCCTCCTCTGGATCTGTTGTTTACTCTACTATCACTTGTTTTTTGGGGTTGGAGTTTGTGACCATGCCGGGTCTCTGTATCATGTGAATGCTCTTGTACATGTTTTAATGTTTTAGAACTTGTCTGTTTACCTTTTGACTGTTCTTTGTATAAAAGCTTTTGAGGTTAATCTTTTAATGTGTAAGAGAATATTTGAAATAACTTGGTATTCCAAAATAAAGAGAATTTTTAGAGAAACTGTGATTGTTAGATACTGTTATTGATAAATAGAAGTTTATAATTGAGTTAAATTAAAAATATAAGTGTCTTGAAAATTTGTTTTGTGTTTGAGTCAACATGAAACCTTGATCATTCAATCATTTCAATATTTCACTTTACTCATTTTAATATTTTTGAAATGGGGTGTTTCATGTTGAGTTTTCCAAGGTAATATGCACTAAGTTTGGGATTAGTATTTATTAAGTTTGGGATTAGTATTTATTATTATTTTTATAATTAAAACATTTTAGTCAGGTTGCGTTAAAGGGTTAGTTCACCCAAAAATGAAAATTAGCCCATAAATTACTCACCCGCAAGTCATCCTTGGTGTATATGACTTTCTTCTTTCAGACGAATCCAGTCGGAGTTATATAAAAAATTGTCTTTGATCTTTCAAGCTGTTTAATGCCACTCAGCGGGTGTTGCATGCATCAGTCCAAAAGAAGTTAAATAAAAAGCGCCCATCCATTAAAAAAAATAGTGCCTCACACGGCTCCGGGGGGTGAACAAAGGCCTCCTGTAGCGAATCGATGCGTTTTTGTAAGAAAAATATCCATATTCAAAACGTAATCACTTTAATGTAGCTTGCGCCAACAGTTGTACACAGAAGCAGCTCAGGGCGGATGACGTATGAGTTCAGTGTTGCGCATGCTGAGTCTCATGAAAACCAACGTTTATTAACAGGAGCAAAGAAAGCAAAGTTTCCTTACTTTAGCAAAGGAAAACCAGTCTCCTCTTGGCTTATATCGAAATCCTCCAACATTCTTCTTTACAAATCCTCGTTTTGTACTTCTAATTCGTGACCGTTGTTTTGTTTCGATCTCTCCGCGTGCGTCACTTCTGAGCGGCGCATGCGCAACGCTGACCTCATACGTCATTCCCCCGGAGCTGCTTCTGTGTACAACTTTTGGCGCAAGCTACATTAAAGTGATTATTACGTTTTGAATATGGATATGTTTTTTACAAAAACGCATCAATTCGCTACAGGAGGCCATTGTTCACCCCCTGGAGCCGTGCGAGACACTTTTTTTTTTATATGGATGGGTGCTTTTTATTTAACTTCTTTTGGACTGATGCATGCAACACCCGCTGAGTGGCATTAAACAGCTTGAAAGATCAAAGACAATTTTTAATATAACTCCGACTGGATTCGTCTGAAAGAAGAAAGTCATATACACCTAGGATGACTTGAGGGTGAGTAATTTGTGGGCTAATTTTCATTTTTGGGTGAACTAACCCTTTAAGTTGATTTAAAGTGACCGCCAATGCATTTATAATATTACAAAAGATTTATATTTCAAATAAATGCTGTGCTTTGGAATTTTTTATTCAAAGAATCTTGGGAAAAAAGCACATCCACGTTACCACAAATTTACTATGCAGCATGACTGTTTCCAATATTGTTAATGTTTCTATTAGAATGATTTCTGAAGGATCACGTGATCCTGATGACTAGAATAATGACAGCTTTGCCGTTCACAGAAGTGAATTACATTCTAAAATATATTAAAATAGAAAAGTTATTTTAAATTGTAATATTTCACAATATTACAGTTTTTATTGTATTTTTTAAACTAATAAAAGCAGCCTTGGTGAGCAGAAGAGACAAAATCATTAAAAGTCTTAACAATCCCAAACATATTGCATGTTTTCTGAATTATAGGAATGACTTGATGTCACAAGCATATGTATCTTAAGCTTATGTTAAGACAGCATGTGCAAACAAGAATAAAAAATAAAATAACAGAATAAATAAATTCAATCAAAATTTAAAAGTACAGTTTATTTAGTTTTTTTTTTGGTGCTCAAAACAAAAAGCAAGATTATATCACTGTCTGAAGTGTTTTGTAGAAGTACCATGTTTTTGCACATACACAATGGTAATAGCATGATATTTTTTGAAGTACCTTGTAATAAACACATAATGTCAATACCACCTGAAATGATCAGTATTTTGTTTAATGGAAATCCACAACAAACACGTCTGCAACAACATTAATCTGAATCAAGTATAAAAGTTTTTGGATCTGTGCCACTGTAACAAATAGTTGCAAAGATATTTTTGGCAAAACAATCAGTATACATTTAATTATTGGGTAGAAAAACGAAGGCACTAGTATTTCCACATTCAGTGAATTGAGTGAATTTTCAGTGGCAAAAATCCTCAATGCTTAATTTATAAAAAGTTCTTTTTTTTTTTTTTAACTAGTGTACAGCAGGCTGTAAAATACTTCAAGGAAACACAATATTAGTGTTTTGAAGCTGTAACGCTGAGAGATGGGGATGAAGCTGCAATGTGTGATGGACTGTAAAAGATCCATAAATGTAGCACAAAGCTGTGATTCAAACCACACAAAGCAAAATCAAAAGAAAAAAAATCCCAATCCCAGTCACACAAATACATATACACTTGGTGTACAAATTGACTAATATAATAAATTAGCATTTTTCGTTTTTAGTCCACTATCAAAGATCTTCATATTTCTGCAAATATCAATGGATGTAGTGCTGGCTTTTGTCATTCTTTAAGCTTGTAACTAAGCTTGCAATTGTGTGTGGACCCTCAGACCCGGGACCGCTCTCAGTGTGTGTTTTTTTTCTCAGTCATAATCTCACATAAAGCTACTGAATGGCTTCAGAAAACCTGGAACATCCCGCACAAGATAGACATATAGATATATTTATAGAGACATTTTCACCCCTTTTAGAAACTTAAAAGCTTCTGTCCCCAATCATTGAAACCGAATTTAAAAATGCACAGTCTTCAATACTTTCTCCTTTTGTGTTCCATGGATGAAAGTAAGTCATGAGTTTGGAACAACATGCGGGTGAATATACAGTTTGATGACAGAATTTTGCGGTGAACTATCCTTTAAGAATGTCCTTAATATGAAAATACTTTACTTTAATACCATTTAAATTCTACCTATTAAAAATATAAGTAGTTGGCTGGCAATTCAGTAATCTTCTGTGTTAAAAGACAGAATTAAAATAAAACTGACAAATGGTAGAACATTTGTCAATCTATTGGCTGATGTCAACTCATCAGAAAATATGGCCTTTTTATTTCTTTGCTCTTTGGTTCACATCATAAAGCCAGCAGCGACAATGGCAGCTCTGTAAAAGCCCATTAATACACACTGACCTACAAAACCAGTTTCTGTAAAAGCATAGGCATAAAAAACCTGGGTAAATTTCGCTCAGCAAGTCCAGTAGGATGTTTAAGTAAAATTTGTCAGTAGTGCTCTACAACGAAATGTGCTCACAGTTCTGAAGTGCAGAATTCTACATCGACAGTGTTTAGTTGAGTCCTCAAGGATCTTACTTTTCCTCTCCAGTCCAGTGCAGGAACAAACAAGCATGTCTCTATGGATGGTGGTAGTATGGGTGAAAGAGTCTCTCGGGGGCACAGATGCTAAGCGCTGAATGCGTGTGAAGCAGTAACCGGGGGAAACGGGAGGTAAAATATGCCACGAAGCCATCAGGGACTTCACCGAGAGCTGTCTGAACCTCTGGTGGGAGCTCATGATAATGATGCTTCTGTTAAAAACATTAGAAGACAGGTTAGGCAGTATATTATATTATTCAAAAGTTTGGGGTCGGAACGACTTTTTTGAAAGAAATTAACACGCATTAAACTGATTAAAAGTGAAAATTCAGCTTTGCCATCAGAGGAATAAATTCAATTTGAAAAAAATATTAAAATAGAAAAGTTATTTTAAATTGTAATAATATTTGATATTACTGTTTGTACTTTAGTTTATATTATATTATATTACCATTCAAAAGTTTCGGGTCAGTAAGATTGTTTTTTCTTTTTGAGTAAAAAAATCCTACTTTTCTTCAGCAAAGATGAATTAAATTGATCGAAAGTGAAGGTGAAAATTCAGCTTAGACATCACAGGAATAAATTACATTTTAAAATATATCAAAACAGAAGACAGTTATTTTACATTGTAATATCATTACAAAATATTACTGTGTTTAATCAATTTTTTTACACTTTGATAAGAAACTTCTTACAGAGAAAATCTTACAGACCCCTTTTGAATGATAGTGTATATTATATTATATTATCAGTGCAATATGAATAGTTTTTTGTGTGATTAGTGACTTTTGTATGCATATGTAAAAACATTAAGTTCTAAACACTTACTTTATTTCTCAGCGCTCGAAGTAGGTCTCTCACAGAGTTTCCTTTATATGTACGAAATTTTCTAAGATCTGTCAGATGGAAAAAGTTTTATATTAGGCTTGCAAATATATAGACATGCATAAACATGAATTGAAACATTTTTCATTTCATATACATTAAAGGGGTCATCGGATGTCCATTTTCCACAAGTTAATATGATTTTTTAGGGTCTTAATGAAAAGTCTATAACATACTTTTGTTGAAATTTCTCAATGGTAGTGTAAAAAACACCCTTTTTACCTTGTCAAAATCACCTCTGCAGAAATCAACCCGTTTTTTGCATGTTGCTTTAAATGCTAATGAGCTCTGCTGACCCCGCCCCTGTCTTCTGTGGAGTGACAAACCGTGCTCTGAGAGACTGTTTACTTTAGCCGCGAAACTTGCTAAGTAGCACGTTATTAGGAACAGCGATTGCAAAGATTCATAAAAAAAACCTTATACTCACTTCTGCTGTAAGTGAAGCTGGATCACGAATGATTCGCACGAATATAAACGCATTTAGGTAGATCGGGGGCACATTTCCTTCACAAACAAAAGTAAGAAACTGAGCACGGCCTGATTTGAAAAAGGGGATATTATTTTTAGGGATTAAATAAAAACCACTGGGTGGATTTTTATCATTATAGGGTAGATGTGTACACACACTGCCAACACACATTTATGTTCAAACAACATGTAAAAGTGAAATTAGCATCCTATGACCCCTTTAAAACATTCCACATTTTATTCAATATTTCTGTAAAATAAAAATTTTATTGCAATTATTTGTAATGGTAAAGTACAGTAGTAGCAGTGCTTACCAGCCTGCAGTGGTGCTGATATGTGCATCCTCCAGTTGGTTCTTACGACAGATCTGCCGGAGTTCTCCAGACGGGCCACTATAGCACTGTCTGCTGGCTCCTTCTCTATTCTGTCACTGACATCCTAGAGCCAAAAGAACAACTTCAACATTGCACTTTCTCACTATACACAATGAACACACACACAAAAACACACACCTGAAAGAACTGCAGCTGTTTCTCTGGGCTCCAGAAGAAGGGATGTTTGAGGATGGACGCTGCTGAAGGACGCGTCTCTGGTTCAGCACTGATCATCCGCTCAATCAGATCTCTGCCAATCACATCCTCTACAAACACCAAAACAGCCATAAAACATTAATAAGCTATTCAAATATGATTAGACAGCATAGACAGCAGCGGAACTACCACATGTCACATGGACTATTTTATCGATGCCCTTACTACCTTTCTGGGCCTTGAATGTGATAGCTGTGTTGCTGTCCATGCAGGATCAGAAAGCTCTCAGATTTCATCAAAAATATCTTCATTTGTGTTCTGAAGATGAACGAAGGTTTTACGGGTTTGGAACGACATGAGGGTGAGTAATTAATGACAGAATACAATATGTAAGATTTTTTTATTAAAATATCCAAAAACCACTAGAATGGTGTTATATATTTTGCTGACTTGTGTACTTATATTATCCCAAATGTTTCGAAGAATGTTTAAATCCAGAGAAATAAGCAATTTTAACTAGAAGCACGGCCCGTGTCTATAGTGTGATTGTGTCGCCTGCCAATGACGTCATAACCCCTCGATTTCCGGTTTTGTTTTGTAGAAAACATGGAAACACCAAAGATGCTTTAATATGTTGTGCGCTTTATTAGACAGGTGACGACTGCACAGAGCAGCATTATAACAGAACTTTCAAATGTATCTAGTATGATAAAACAGCGGTGCTTTTCTTCCCCCCACATAGGCACGACCGGAAGGAGTGGAAGCGGTCGACTGGCATAATAAAAGCTCCACTGCTTTCGAGCCGTATGTGTCGCGCTCGTTCAGTGGCCTCGTTTTGCTTCGGCGGCTTTCAGCCTCACCCTGCTTCATTCTACTACGTTAATAAATCATTAGCTCATCCATGAACATGTTTTCTGCCCGAGTCCCGTCAGATTGCATCAGCTGTGGGGATGAAGACGACAACTCCCATGATTCCACACTCAGTCACGACGTCATCAAACTACGCCTGTGTCTATTTGTTTATTTTGAATACGCGCCCTCTAGCCACGAAAATCCCATATTGTGCCTTTAAGTCAGTGATAAGTGTCTAAACAAAACCGGACACTTCTTAAACAGAAAGTACACATCCATATACTTAAAATTCATGCATGCACAAACCATGTATATCCTCCATAAAGTGGTCAAGGTTATAGATTCCAGAGAGGATATTAGCTTGACGCCGCAGAGTGTCACCAAACGGATGCTGTCCTTTGGACGTCACATAATAAAACACACATCCGGCCGAAAATATATCCACTGCACTCGTCTAAAGACAGAAAAATAGAGGGAAAGGAGACAAACTTATAAAGAATATATCTTATTTGGTGAGTTTTTAAAATTCAGTAGACCACAGTATCTGTTTTTTAAACTGAACATGTGACGTGTGTGTTTGTATGCATGTCTACTGATCGTACAGGGTTCCCTTTTGGAGCATTTATGAGTAATTCAGGGGCAATCCAGCCTTCGGTTCCTGGTATTCCAGAGCGTAGGCTGAAACTATGGCGACCATCTGGAAGCTTCTTACACAAGCCGAAATCTGAGATCACCGCCCGGACTCGACCCAGTGCCCCCGGGAGAGAGAGCAAAATATTTCGTGGCTTTAAATCCCTGTGAACTGAGCACGAGAGGGACACGTAATTACTAATGAAGGTGGGTCCGTCTGCTTGCATGCATATATACTGTCAATATCCAATTAATTTAATAGCACTTAATAAACATTGATGCAATGCAATACTACCATGTGCAACTGTGATGCATTTTTAAGAAGTTACAGGAAGGAAGTTATGATTGAAATCATTGCTATGGCAACAGTGACTCACCGATGTTGAGGGAGTGCAGGTGATTGAGGCCACACATGGTTTGGTCCAGCAGGGACACTGGGTTCAGGTCTGAGTAAGGACAGCTTGGGTCCTCCACATACTGCATGCCAAACAGAAAAACCCAATCAGAGTGCATGGAAACAAATCAGTTGTGATTATACAGCTGATTATACAGATGAAACTGAATACTAAAAATGTTATTATACACTTAGAAAATAGAAAATACAGTACAGTACAAGAATATAGTTGTGGCATATTGCCAAAGTCCTATTTGTGATCACAGTTTTTGTCTTGCTTGTTAGTAGAAATATAATTTAATAATTAATAATTAATAATTATAATTAATAATTTAATAATTAAATATCTAAATCCTTAAACCATCTTTAAAAATGAAGCGTTTTGCATATTTGTCAGAGAATGCATCTTGAATATAAGTGTATTTTCACTTGGCTTGGCAGACTGTTTTAAGCATAAATCTCACTAATTTATGTTATTGTTAAGTCAAATTAAAACTTTAAAAAGCATTTTTGTTAACTGAAATAAAGCTGAAATAAAATGAAAAATATAAATATTAGATACAAGTATTAAATTGACTAAAACTGAAATGAAAATAAGGCAAAAAAAACGTTTATTAATAATACTAAAATAAAAAAACACTGCATGGTATTAAAGACACATTTAATATTTTTGTTGAGGCTACATTGTTTCAATGTTGTTATTGTTAACTAAAACTAAAACTTAAAAAGAGTTTTTGTTAATTGAAATAAAGCTGAAATAAAATAAAATATAAATATTAGATGAATTATTATGATTAATTAGAAACACATTCAGAACTGTTAAGTGAAATAAAAATAAAGCTAAAAGAAAATTTAAAAACTACTAAAAACAACAAACAAAATTCCTAAACTAAGGTTAAAACTGAAAAAAAAGCTTATTCAACATGTTAATAAATACTATGATAATATTCTAATAATACTAAAATAACTAAAAAAAATACTGCATGGTTTTAAGACATTTAACATTTTTGATGTGGAAAAGAATGTGTTTTTTGAACCTTAAACCGCATAAACACATTTCATTACACCAAATACACAAAATAATGTTCTTTTTAGCAGCATCATATGACCTCTTTAAAGGTTAATTGTGTATATTATACTGCATTATACTTTTTGTGCAACTTGACTAACTCTAACCCTAAATGCACAAACAGTTTGTTTTCAAGCAGATTACCTTGTCTGCCACTGGTTGACTTCTCAGTTCTAATGATACAATTCTAATGTTCCTGCCCCAGTGCAGACCAACTTTACAAATCACGATAAAACAGTGAAAAGCAGAAAGCAAACTAGTACCACATTCAAAAGCACTGTTATGTTCAACAAACACACACACTCACTGAAACACACCTGCTGGAGTGTAGCGGCACATAGCTCTATGGCAATGTAAGTGAACTGTCTGTCCCGCTCTGTGCAGAAGTAACGGATGACATTGGGATGCTCGTCTGATTCACGGAGGAGCTGAACCTCTCGCTCTGCAAACTCCACGCACTCTGGAAGGATACGCTTTACCGCCACACGCCGACTGTCAAAATGACCCCTGCATCCATAACACCAGTGAATTAAGGGTAAAGAACAACCAACCAAACAAACCAGTGAAAAACTAGCATCACAATTCATAATAACCCACCGGAACACAAAGGTTCCCTCTGTCCCATGGCCCAACACCTCAGCAGGACTGAAAGAGATTTTTCCAACTTCCACAACGTCAGGCTGTTCACCTGAAGAATATGAGTTACACACAATTTAAAAAACACAAAGTAAAGGCTTAAATTATAGTGAACAACATACAGGTTTGTAAATGAAATAAACTGCTAGTTTAGATAAAAGGAAAGAACATGGGCCTCATTCATGAAATGCAATTCTTATAATCAGTCATAAAAAAGCAATTTACTTAAAGGCACAATATGTTATTTTTTCGCCGCTAGAGGGCGCGTATTCAAAATAAACAAAGAAACAAAGGTGTAGTTTGATGACGTTGTGACTGAGTGTGGAATCATGGGAGTTGTCGTCTTCATCCCCACAGCCGATGCAATCCGACGGGACTCGGGCAGAAAACATGTTCATGGATGAGCTAATGATTTATTAACGTAGTAGAATGAAGCAGGGTGAGGCTGAAAGCCGTTGAAGACACAATGACACTATGGACACGGTCCGTGTCACTAGTTAAAATTGCTTATTTCTCTGGATTTAAACACTCGTCGAAACATTTTGGATAATGTAAGTACACAAGTCAGCAAATATATATAAAACTGTTCTAGTGTTTTTTGGATATTTTAATAAAAAAATCTTACATATTGTGCCTTTAAGAATAGTTTGAATTTAACAGGATTTGCACAGAAATTTGTTTTTGTATTTCATGAATAAGGTTCAATAGTTGATATGGATATAGAATAGTTTCCGTACTTTGTGATTGAGCAGCTGTCGTAATTGGGGCGGAGTCTTTGCTTGAGAATGGCTGAGTTTGATTGGATGCAACAGAACTAGTCTTCTCTGAATGGCTGTTGTTGTTAAAGGATGAGGTTGAGGATGGAGTGTTGGGCTCTGTGGCAGCGCTCTGATTGGTCAACACCGGCAGAGGGTTGGAGTCCACTGGCTCTTCAGATCTCTGGGATTTTCTGACAGGCTAATAGAAAAGAAAAGAACAAGCAGTTTTATACTTGTTTATTTATATTATATACATACATACTTATATGCATATTAATATACGTACACATATAAGTATATAATAAATATTATCCACCTATATATTTATCCACCTAAGATGGTGTCACTATTAATAATAAATTAAATAAATAAATAAATAATATATTCATTAACATCAGAAGGCTACTTTAGAGGAACACTGATACTGATACTAATTCATTCAAAACACACTTTATAAAACAGATAGTTCCGGTCCTTGATTCTGATTGGTTGAGCCAAGGTCGAAGCTGTTGAAAATTACTCTACAAACATACACCTTTGTTTACATTTGTGTGTTGCTCGGCAACCACTTTGTTGGAACCACAACCGTTTCTGAGGAACTACATTGTTTGGCGGAAGAATAATATTTGTATTAATATCATTACACTTTATTTGCTCTGTTTTATTTTGTGAAACCTTACTACGTATATGGAATAACCATTTTATAAAAGCAATAAGCCCCAAGAAGCCGTGGTTTACAGTGAATTTATAACAGCTAAGGGGCGTTTGTAAACCACGGCTTCAC